TCATGGCAGAAAATTCAGCTTCACAAAGATATGTGGTGAAAAAACAAAGAAGAAACCTCACTGCTATTTCATGAAAATTTGGATATTCATTTTTCATTCTTATCCAGAATTTCGATTTACTCGTAGTATTAAAAGTACTTTCCAATCCTTTGTCCGATGATAATTCAATAAGTTGAAGGGTTTCTTCATGGGAAAGGGCTGACTCTTTGTGTTCAACAAAAGGGTTCACAATCCACATATTTTGCCTCCGGGGATCCTCATGTTCGGGATAATATTTTTCAAAGGACAAAAACAGCATCTTCAAATGGGCTGCAATAATATCTGAAACTGAATTCTGTGAATAGAAATCATCTGCTTCCATAATATAATCTGAGTACGACTGAAACATTTCATTGTTTCCTTCTGCAATCATATTAAGCCAGAGTTTGAGTTTCTTTTTGAATGATTCGATCTTGTTCCACGCATTAAATATTGTTGCATCTGGACCTTGAAGTTTTAAATTCAACTCGTTCATATAAGAAAATATGTCGCTGAGATACGCTAGCCTAGCTACCCATTTCTTATCCTGGAAATAATGGGACAGGTTACTTTTCTTATCAATTAGAAAGAGCTCTTTGATGATCAGAGCCCATTTCATCGCACAATGCTTGTAACAGTCTTGTATTTAAAGCACTGTTTTTATATAATTAACAATCTTAACAGATTGAGACAGGACTTCATTAAGCTCAGGTGCCATTTTTTTTTTTGGAGGCCAGGTTTTGCCTATGAATGTAGCGATGCGTTGACACTAAGTTATTGCCCGCCATATCCTTAATTTTAGTGACCAAACCTGAATTTCTACCTGTAAGACAGGCAGCGCCGTCAGTGCTAACTCCAACGCAGTTTTTCCATTCGAGACCTCTCTATTCAATGAAACCATTTAAAACTTTGAAAATTTCAGTGTTGGTAGTGTGCGTAGGTAATTCAGAAACACTTAAATGTCTTCCTTCATGTCACTCTCATCATGGTCAATATATAGTACACACGTAAGTAAAATACTGCTGTTCTGAATTCGTCCAGTTGTAATGCAAACAGTTTCGATTTTTTAATTTTTCCAGTGACTTGCGTTTCTGTATCTTCTGCCATATCAGATATCCGCCTTGCAACTGTATCATTCGACAATGGGATGTCTTTCATTTTACTTGCCGCAGACTGGCCTAATACTTCATTACAAGCAGTAATCAAAGAAGGCTTAATGAGTTCTTCCCCATTGGAATGTGGTTTTTTTACATTTAGCCGTCTGAAGTGATATTAAATACGAGGGTCGTACGGAAAGTCATGAGCAACATTTTTTATAAAGTAACATGCTTTATTATTGGCAAACCAAATACACCCCCTACACCTTTCTTTATTTTTCCACATAATCGCCACTTCTTTGTACACATTTCTCCCATCCTTGTGGGAGTTTGAAAATTCCCCTTGTGTAAAATTCCGTTCCAGCCATCCGAAGACACTGACGCACTGCTTTCTGAATGGCCTCCCTTGTCTCAAAACGTTGTCCACGCAGCTGATCCTTCACAAATCCGAAAAGATGGTAGTCGGAGGGTGCCAGATCAGGGCTAAGGAAGGGTGTGGAAGAATTTCCCACCCCGTCTTTGCAATTGCTTCCAATGTGAGGCGAGTGGCGTGGGGGCGAGCGTTGTCATGCAGGATGATGTTTCGTCCCGGACGTTTATCGCGCAATGCACGACGGAGCTTGTACAGCGTCTGGACATAACGAGCAGCACTGATGGTTTGCCCAGGTTCCAGGAATTCGGCCAGAATAAACCCCTCTGCATCCCAGAAGACTGTGCCCATCAACTTCGCAGCTGATGGTACTGTCTTTGCCTTCGTTTTTGATGAAGAATGCAAATGGTGCCATTCCATACTCTGCCGTTTAGTTTCAGGCTCGAAATGGTGAAACCAGCTTTCGTCACCTGTCACAATACAGAGCAAAAAATCATCGCCTTCGTGTCGATATCTCTGCAGCAGTTCTGAGGTGATGGCTTTTCGCTGACCTTTGTGGTCTTCGGTCAATAACCACGGGACCCAACGAGCAGAAACTTTCCTATAGCCCAAGTTTTCAGTCATCTCCTGTACTGCACCGTGCCCTATTCCAAGTTTTCGGGCTGTTGTGTCCACAGTCACACACCTGCCATCTTGAATGATCTCATCCACTCTTTCCTTGTTGCGTTCAGTTGAGGCTGTTCGAGGACGACCGCTCCGAGGCTCATCTTCAGTGCTGGTGTTCCCATCTTTAAAATGTTTCACCCATCTTCGAACACTGCTCGCACCCATGCACACACTTCCATAAGCACGCTGAAGTCTGGTGAATTTCTGCAGCAGGGATTTACTCTTTCACAAGAAATTCGATGACAGCACGCTGGCGAAACGACATATCGTTGTCGACCATTTTGTTAGGAGTGATACTGGCCACATGATGCAAGTTATTGGCGTCACAAGACACTCAAAGTTAACACAACAGCGGATTCCACCTACCACCATACTCTCTTTCGTCTGCTGTTCCCAAGTTGCATGCAAAAAAAAAAGTTGCTCATGACTTTCGGTACGACCTACGTAGGATGCCGTCAGAAGTGAAGTGTCAGTGGTTGAAGCTTGGCAAATAATTTTCTTTTCTGCTTTAAGTGCATCTCTTTTACGCATAAAGAATTCAATGGGTTTGTTGACTAGATCGGAATGTCTTGTGTTGAGATGTTTGGTAAGTCGCGATGGCTTCATAGCTTCATTTCCCAGAACAGTAGCACAAATGACACATTGAGGTCGTGGCAATTGGTCACTGTAAGTCCCCTGTCTCTTATTCATATTAAAATTTAAATCACTCAGGTTCCGAAACAGGCACTTACACACTGCAATGCGAACTTGCGAAGAAACAGTATTCAGTATTACTAGGTTTGAGATCCGGATACAGACTGCCTTGATCTTCAGTTTCAGTGGAAACATTTTCTTTATACTTCTTTGCTGATTGGTCACTGACATTTGCAACACAGATTTAGATGTTCTGTGTCTGAGCTTCGCGACACAAATATTATTCTCCTCAGAATTTTTCCACTATTATTATTTCTTAATGAAAAATGCATAGAAAATGAATGACAAATTCCAGAAGAGCCTCTAGCGGCCCAGTATAATTGATGCCAGGGCCCACTACTGGGCTGCGGCCCGGCGTTTGAGAAGCACTGTTTTAGACTACTGTACAATGGAGAAAGTCTAGAAACTCGGTAATCCAGAACAGTATTTGTATCATTAAATGACTGAGGAGACTATACAAGAGAGTCAAAGTGGTCCAGCATATTGAGTCCTGAGAAGTAAAATAGGTCATAGCGTATATCGGATTACTAGCTATCCCGACAGATTTTCCTTTCTTTGTAGCCTGCCCAGGCAAATAGTCATGGGTGATGACAGGTAAGTATTTGGAGGGAGGCAGTCATGGCTTGCCTGAAGGTATTGTTTATCTGTATAGACTGAGTAAACCCCAGGATAGCTGATGGCCTAGAAGATATTCAGACTGGGTACAGGTGTAGCAGTGTTGATCCTCCACAGGTCAATAACAGGTGATCCTAAGTTTCCATGCTTGACTTTCAGTTGAAATATTCTTTCTTGCCATGATTATTGTGATAATACCGGCCATAAGGTGACTAACTGGTGATGAACAGGTGGCTGTTAATGCATTGCCCAGGGGAGATGGCATATTGTTGGCCTGATTCACTTTTATAATACCAAGAACTTATCAGATGTGTGGTATCTAGAAGGGAGAATTCCTGTGAAAATGAAACATTTTGTTTTTCTTGGACTTCTGTTGAAGAAAAGTGAAATATATATAATGACTCTTCTGTGCAGAAGTCTAGAGAAGGAAATTGTAGGCCAGTGACATAGCTAATTCATTCATAAGCTAGAAGCTTATTAGACCAAAATTTATACACAATACCTCACAAATATTCCTATAATAGGTTATAAAAATGTAAGTATGTGCTTCTGAGCACAACCACTTTGCCTGGCATTGCAATCTTAATGCACTAAATTTTCAGACATTGTGAAAAGATGTGGTTTTTTCAAATGGGATGCGTTGTCTGCCACACTGAGGTTTTCATCATGAATTTGACTTGGTTCATCCTCATCCGTCACGCTAGCAATATTATAGTTCTGGATTTAACAGAGTGTTTTAAACCATACTTGTAAATAGACTAGTTGTAGTGATTTATATAAATGTTTTAATAAATTCATGAACATCACTGTAATTCTTAAAGGCTAATCTATATTCGTGACATTGTAATGGTGGTATCTGTATGTATTGGTAGTGACCAGTGACATTGCATTAGTGGTTTCCACATGTATTGATATGTCATTCTGAAGACCTTCGCTCTGACCGAAACACGTAAAATATGAATTATTAAAGAAAAGAAAACCATTTATCAGCCACACTGGACAGTGTTGGTGATGTTTTATACATGAAATTTTACCCACCAACAAGTACTCTTCATTTTTTGTGCCAAGAACTGACTTTGAACTGCCAGACAATGCTTGGCACTAATACCATACAAAACAAATGTTACATTTTGGCGTGTTTTAAACAACCCACACATGCAGTAAAACTGGAGATTAAGAACATCTTAACTGAAAGGTGGCATGCATTTCCCAAATTTAATCTGTTGTTAATTTCACCATGTGTGTAGTTGTAATGGTGACCAACCACGGATTATGTGTTGCAGCTGCACCTGTGCGGGCCGAGCTCATGACACAGGTGCCACACATTGCTATGCTCTGCCATGAAGATAAAAACAGACTGCGCTCCCTTGTGTTGGACCACCTCTTACCATTGGTTGTCAGGCACCTAGGTGACAATGATAGTCTGGTAAGAATGTCTGTACCCACATTAATTGATTATGTTTAAGCACGGATGCCAAACCATTAATACCAACAGATTTGGTTGTGGAACCATATAGTTCACCACTTCACATAGTAAGATATATTTTGCTCTTTGCTTTTAGATTCCATCTCAAATACAGGAAAGTATAGTTACCCAGAGAATGAAAGATGTATAAATATGCGTGGGAAGGGGTGGCTGCTACCACAATTTTGTTGTAAATTTAACACCAGGCTGCAGAAGGTCATTTATGGGATAAAACATCTCATCTTTGACTTCCATTGACACACATTTGTAATGTTTACATACATCTGATTTGAGAAATCGTGAGTGCAGTGAAATTGCAATTCATCAGGGTCTGTGCTGTGACAGGATCAGTGCTTTGAGAAGGTCAGAGTAGTTTGGACATGCATGCAGGCACTAAATGATAAATCTTGCAGCCTTGTAATATTTTTCAGTAATGCATTTCTTTACAAATTATCATGGCTGACTTACTGTTTAATTAATCACATGCAACCACTCACCTCCAGCTAGCGCCGCAGTCAAGAAAACGTGGATTCATACATCCATTCCCCCATATGCCTTCGTGGTATAATGCTTAATTAGTTAAACAGGGATAAATGACCTTTAAACTCTCTCAAAATTTCTGTATACAAAACCCTATCATGTGAGCTGTATTGGTGCAGTGCTAATACCTCCAGCTCACTTTCTGAAGGTAATTGGTTTGACTCCAAGCTCAGGACACTGGCAAATATGCCAGCATTTCCTGTGGTCTGTGTGACACCTGCTACTAGAAAATGCATATGCACTGCTCATTAAAGCTAGATTTGATGATGTACTGTATTGTGTGATGTATCACAGTTTTGTGAGTGGCACAGCAGGAGTGCAGCTATTAATTGAACATCTTATAAAATGTTTCTGGTCATTTTTTGTTTACTGGATTTCTAAGTTCTAAGTTAACTTTGCTGCTGTTCTCAGAAAGCCTCATTGTAAAAATAAAGTTGAAGTTTGGCGAAATACAAGGGGGGTGAACAAAATAATGGAAACCCTAAGAAACTGAGGGATAGAATTTGTTTGTAGATATCGTTGCACATTTAGAAGGATTGTTTTGAAAAATCACACAACTCCTGTGAGCTTCACAAATCCAATATCCATGGTAGGACTGCAATTGCAAAACCACTGATTACTAAAGGTAATGCTGAGATGTGTAGAAGATGGTATCATGACCATAAAACCTGGACATCAGACAACTGGAAGGGCATACGTGGGTCAGATAAGTCATCCTTCACACTGTTCCCTACATCAGGAAAAGTTTACGTTTGAAGAACACCCAAGGTAGCCTACAATCCGGAATGCCTAGCTCCAACAGTGAAATATGGGGATGTTCTGTGATGGTTTGGGAAGCAGTATCATGGTACAGTATTTTTCATGGCCGAATTACTTCAAGGGAATATGTGGACTGGTTGGGTAATGAGTTGCATCCCATGATCCAGATACTATTTTCGAAAAGGGATGCAGAACCTTAAGTAATTTTATAGTGATTTTCAGCCAGGATCAGTACAAGTAAGGACAGCCATCCATTTGTTTTGGTCTCATTTTATAGGTTCTGCTGCATCATTGTGTACAATAGAAAGGAATAGTAGCACTGCTGTATTTTAACAGGTCCGCAAGATGTCACAAGCCGCATTGCTCTTGCTGGTGAAACAGGATCTGGTGGGGCAAAGCGAAGTAGAGCAGAAAGTATGCCCTATGATACTTAAGCTGACAGAGATGGGTCACCCAGTGGAATTCCACACTGGAGCTGTTGCGGTAAGATCAGCATAATGCAAGTTTCTGCATATACACCTTTATTTTTTCTTTTCACAGTGCATGAAGTGAGTGCATTGTTAGTGCTGGTGGAATGTCTCATTCGCAATTTTGGGTAGCTCATTGTACAGTGAGATTTTTTCAAACCCACCACATATTGAACCCTTTGAGCAAAAGAGGCAAATGCTCCTCCCAGCAGATTGGGGTTCTCAGATTCTGACTTCTAGTGGAATCGACTGCCTGCAACCTGAACCTGCCCAGATTACAGCAGCTGCTGGAAATGCTCTCTGTTCTTGCATGCCCATTGTCACCTCCATATAAGTTCACCTTCACATGTTACGGTGTTGGGAAATGGTATAAACGTCCCTTCAGATATTTTCCTTCAGTTCTTCAGTTGTATGATGGTGTAATCTGTAGATGTTTTACTTTGTGGTTACCCTTAAGTAAGTTGTGGGTTGTGATTGGGGGAGCATGTTGCTCACAGATGGCCACTGGTTTCAGTTGCTGGAGTTTTGTGGTAATTTGTGTGGATTGTTTTGAAACCCCTGATCACCCATGTGAGATGTGACAGATGTGAAGCTAGCTTTCATCCTTTTTGTCTACATTCAGATCTTCTAACCCTGTCTTAATGTGTGTACAGTTCTTCTGTGTGGAACTGTAGCATTATGCAGCACCATTTTTCACATAGGTGTTCCAAAAAATAGTACATTCCTTCCAGGAGCATACTGTAAGTAAGTTACAGAGCCCGAAAGATTTTGACAGTCTTCCTGGAAACTTGTTTGTTACTGATATATCTAGTTGCGATGCAACATAGGCCAGACTGTTTTATGTTACTTCAGTATTTGTAAAGAGGAAGCAGCGCTTATTCAGTTCTGTGCATGATGCCTAAGGAATGCCTGCGCTCATGTCCCCTATATGACTTCCGTCTAGTGCAAGGGTTAAGAATAGTGGAGCCATACCTCTTCATATTGTATCTTGCATGCGTTGCCTGTAACCCCCAACCATTGCAGTGAGTGCAAGATTTTGGGTTGCTGGGTGGTGCATATTGAGTCTGTTGGTGGTTATATTAACAGTTCATAAACAGCCCTGTTCTCGTCATGGATGAGTGATGCATGTTTTGCATGAGACAGGGTCACTGTGCACACTTGGACAGAGGAGCACCCAAACATTATGGGAGTCACAAGGCATTAGCGTAAGTGTTCACTTAATGTACGAATTGGCCCGTAGGATGATACTACTATTGATAGCTATGTTTTGCGAGCTCATTTCACAGGTCCTACATTACTGCAACTGAAGAACAGTGTTCTGTTAGCCAGAACCTCTGTCCATTTCTTTTACCAGGCACAGGACGTAGTACCCATAGATAAGACATGGAGGGCCCATGGCATGGCTGGCACATTCACCTGACCTAGCGAACAGAGCATTAATATGCTGTTGGCCTGTGGCAGCATGGTCATTTTTGATTTCAAAACCTGTTGGGACTCATGACCATTTATGTGGTTTTAAGTGGGTCCTGCTCTCAGATGAGAGGAGAGGTCCAACAGCTGCCATCACCTGACATAAATTTGGTGCCTTTTATGTTGAAACACTGCCAAAGTTTCATGTATGGGACACCAAGAATATTGGAATCCACAGGAATCCCTTATGCATTATGCAGAAAGCTGCATAGTGGTTAGTGGAAGCCATTTCAGGTGCTTTCTCTGTAGTAGTAGATACTAAACTCACTCAGATGACTCCCCCCCAAAAAATCACTGAAATGGGGCAGACTTCATAACCTTACATCTCTGCAGTGGAGAAGTTTTCAGCAAAACTGTGAAATTGTGAAACCTACCTATAATGCATCCTTAGAAGGAACTTAATTCATTTGTGGAACAACCTCTATATAAGGTATCTTGAGTTTCTTCAAACCAATATCGTGATCCAGAGGGTAGCACTGCTACCTCAGTTATGGAGGTCGCAGGTTTGATTCTCGGTATGTCGAACAGTTGCTGTGACGGAGTTGTCATTCTCTCCAGGCAAGCTAAAACCACCTTCTTAATTCATGATGTGAAAAGGTAAAGTTGTCCCCATGCTTAACTAATTAAGCATTATGTCATGAAAGTGTATGGGGGAGTGGATGTATAGATCCACATTTTCTTCACCTTGGCACTCACTGGAGGTGAGTGGTCGGCTTTACCCCTGGGGGGTGCCCCCAGTACCAATTGGATAGGAGGTTGGGTCGTCCCCAGAGCCAGTCTGGACAACATGGGGGAGAGAAGATTCTTGACCCTACCAGCACTTGACCTCCAACCCCTTGGTTGCCCAGCCCATAGCTCGCTATGCCGACTATGCTATCCCGGCTCCTAATTCAGGATGTAGTTGTTCTTATATAACCTTGTTTAAACCATGCATTGATGAGAGCATTTAATAAACCATGGTTTTTGGGCTACTGATTTGTATTAATCCTACAGTTGTCACTATTAATAATGTGTTTGCAGAAGCATGTCCATCTTACAGCATGAGTGTGGTCAGGGCCAAGTGAAAGACATGGGTAGTGAGATGTTGGTTTTGGATCTTGCATCTCACTACCTTGTCTTTCATGTGGCTTTGACTCTCATCAACAGCAGTTACAGCAGTGGCCCAGAGACAAGTGGACAAGATTCTCGCATCAAAGCTGGTTTGTCATAGCGTTCGTAAATCTCACTATCACAGCCAGCTTTGATGAGCAGAAAGTTGTTCCTTAGTCATCTTCACACGAGCATCAGAAGAAAATTTGTTCTGGTATGTATGTATTCCAAGGGCCTAGTCATCAATTTGGTTGTGAAATGTTGATATTCAGTACTCATATCACAGCCACTTTGATGAGCTAGTGTTTTGGAACTGTCTGCAGACTAAGTTTAAATGTGTTAAGGTAATTAATTCATTGTATGTGGTATTTGGTTGTTATTGTTAAAATATGGATTTCTCAGTGTAATGAAATGGAAAAGAGTAATACAGCTTATATTTTGCAGAGAAAAAATTATGCAGTCTCACAAAATGTTTGGTATTTGTTGTTGGCTGGGACCTCTGTCCCAAAGATTAAGGATGGTGCACAGGAATGAAGTTCACCATTTACTTCCATCTAGTGCTGAAGTCTGGAATGCATTAGGTGGAGGTGAGTTCTAATTTTCTTGTCCCAGCTGCTAACCTTCAAAGAAAAGATTACCCATTAACCTTGAATAGAGAAGGTTGGGAAGTGCTAAAGGTACTGTAGACAGCATGGATCAGCAAGTACTGCCTAAGCAGAAACATCCACTTCTTACTCTATAGTGGCTCTTTGCAAGCATACTACTTCACTAATGACCAGTATGCTGTGAACAAATACTATACTACAGTACAGCATAGTAGATAAGTCTGTTTATGTCCCTTCCTCTTCTATTCCAATTCCTTGCCCTGCAAATTTCAAGATTACGGTCTTGTACAGTACCTACTTATGTGATTATTTTCCTGATCATGTATAAAATCTCAGGATCCCCCTGTTTGGCAACATATAGATCTTTTTCCCACTTTGACTTGTTACTACTGAGATAAATATAGACATTACTCTTGTAAAGATGGATGTTTGCCCACGACACTGACGTTGAAAACAATTTAGAGAGATGGTATTATTTTCTCTTTTATCAGGAGAAAATTCATTGATATTTTATAATTTTGCTGTCTGAAAGAGTTTGAACCCAGGTGGCCATGGTATAAAGTGTACGTGCAGTTTGCATCACAGTCTACAGCAAATGCCTGTGGCCCGAGAGTCAAAATGGTTGTGATGTGTGGATATATGTCATATCACAGCCATTTTTGACGAGTTGGGCTGTGGGAATAGACAGCCCTGATGCTGCATCAACAGAAATTTGAAGGGGGAGCTTGTGCTGTGCCACTCACGAAGTTGTTGTGATATGTCACATGATATGCATCATATCACAGCCAGCTTTGATGAGCGGTACTCGAAGCAGTGCCCAACACACTCGCATTAGTAATATACATCAAAATAAGTATTGAATCAGCATTTCAGATCATCCATATTGTTAAATTATATTGCGATGAATGGTGGGAGATTTGTGATGTTTTGCTTAGTGGGGGTGGCAGTCCAGTTGTGTCCACTCAGCACAGAGGTCACTGATTGCCCTATTGTAGCCTGCCATGGGTGATTATGATGATGGAGAATTTTTGTGGACTGAAGATTGGCAGGGGAAACCGAAGTATTTGGAGAAAACCCACCTCAGCGCCACTTTGTCCACCATAGATCCCAATTGACCAGACCCGAGATCGCACCCGGGCCGCCATGGTGGGAAGCCAGCGATAACCACTTGAGCTATGGTGCGGCCTATTATAATGTGATGTTAATATGGGAGAAAACTGTTGCCTTCCAGAACGTCTCACTGCGGCAGGTTCCTGCAAAGATTATGTCCAGTTGCTCCCATCAGAGTGGCTATGATATGTCATTATTTGTTTCATATCACAGCCAGCTTTGATGAGCGCAAAGGGATACTGTACACTGCATTCTCTGCATGTGCTGGTCATATTGCAGATGAACTAATATTTTCTTTGAACTGACCTGTTTAACCTGTCTGTAGGCCATAAGCAAGCCCTTAATGCGAGAAACTCGCACAGGTGCCAAATAAATTTTGGTAATGATGAAAAGTAATGTAATTGGAAGAGAAGGCTCTTGATGAAGGAACTAACATTCGTGACAAGAGCTTAGTTTATTCATCAGCTTAACATAATAAAATGCCTATCTCATTAAATTATTTCTTTCAAACACGCCTGAAAATCTTTGAAATATTCTGCTGGTTATAACCATAGTCCCTTTCAGTTGGCAGTTTCCTTTAAAGTGTCAAGATATTCATTTCTGTGCAGACTAATAGTGGATTAAACCATGTTTTACAGCTAATGAGCAAGATGGCACGACTGATTGGCCGCAGTTCCACAGAGCGGTTGTTCCTGAGTCATTTTGCTGCTGCATGTAGTGATCCAGTATTCTATGTTCGCAAAGCGTGTGCTGCTAACTTTGGTGAATTTTGTGCCGTCATTGGAACAGAATCTACTGAAAGTGTCCTTGTAAGTATTTGGTAAATCTGTTTTAAGTTTTCAGTCAAGTTTGCTGCACTTTCTGAAACACTAAAGATCAGAGATAAATAAAAGTACAATTGCCATTTGTTCTGTGTGGTTGTGAACTGAGATGTCTCACCTTTAGACGAATAACATGCGCATATCTGCAAGCCCCATAGTACTGGGGTGTCTAAAATTTCCCATTCCCAGGTGTTAAACATTGAAGGGTGTGAAGATGTGGACTGCATTCATTTGGCTTTGGGCAGGGTCCAGTGGTGGGCTGTTTCTTAACATCATAATGAATCTTAAGGTTCATAAAATGCAAGGGTTTTCTTGACCAAGTGGGGAACTGTTAGCTTCTCAATAAGGATTCTCCACCATAATGTTAGTGTACTTACTTTAAACATTATGGATGTCCAGTGTGATAACCTGTAGCACAGTTAGTTTTACTGCCATATTTGCAGATGGATATGGAGGCCAGTTATGGGGCACTGTGCTACAAGCCAAAGGTCACAGGTTCAAATCTCGATGAGGCCATTGGATTTTTTAATTGACCTAACACTTCCAGCCCCACTATGGCCAAGGGGTCGACTCCACCTCTAACAGAAATGAGTACCAAGAATCTTCCTGGGGTGGGGGTAAAGGGCAGCCGGTGGCTAAGGCTGACAACCTCATCACCATCTGTGAGCCAGTTCTCTGGAAAATGTGGGACCCTCGACATCTCACAAACATAATGGCCTCCATGGCCCGTTACAGGGATGGCTTTACCTTTCTACATATGACATTGGTACATTTGGGTACTTACAAGGTGGTTCAAATATGACCGGGACTGATTTTTTTGTAAACAAGCTGCACTTTGAAGCAGCTGTGCGACCTTGCAAGAGTGAAGCCACAACCTCCACCCTCCCTCCTGTTAGGGTTAGAACCTGTTCAGTCCTGTCTGGAAGTTGCTAGAGTGATGAGAACAGAAGCTACCACGGAGCGTGGAACAACGCATTGTGATCAAATTCCTCGTTGGAGAAAATGTCCAGTCCACTGAAATTCACCACATACTCCAACAACAGTATGGCTAAGAGTGTCTCTCACGGACCCATGTGTTTGAGTGGTGTAAGTGCTTCAGAGAGGGCGGAGAGCGCATGGAGAATGAACCGCATGATCGTTGGCCGCGAATATCCATCACCGAGCCGAACATTGATCATGCAAGCGTGCTTATTCGTGAGAATAGGCGCATCACTATCAAGGAACTTGGAGGAATATCCAATCCAAGCGGAAGACAGGTGGAAAGCGGGTAGCCTTCCTTCAAGACAATGCACGCCCCCATACGGCCAAAACAACAATGAAAACCCTTCGGAAATTGAAATGTAACCTTCTGACACATCCGCTGTACAGTCCCGATTTGGCCCCAAGTGATTTCTACCTGTTCGGAAGACTCAAATCTGACTTGCAAGGCATGCAGTTTGTGGACGACGCCACCGTCATCCAGACAGTTCGGGAGTGGACATGCCGCTAACCACAAGCCTTTTTTGAGAAGAGCATCAGGATCCTTCCATAACGTTGGAAGAAATGTGTTGACTCCAGAGGGGAGTACGTTAAAGACTGACATGTGCAAGTAAGTGTTTGGCAATTATGTGCGGTTTTTTTTCTGGTCATATTTGAACCACCTAGTACAATGGAATGCACTTTTACACTACATTATTGTTCCATTGTAACCCCTTGAAATCTACTTTCCTAGGCACAGTGCACAGCTAAAGAACTACACTTAAGATGGACCCCATGATTCTTACATATTGTAAACAATTGGTGCAAGGGTATGAGAATTCTTGGTGTTTTACAATGAACATGTGTTTTATGTTACCTCTTCTGATTTGAAATTGGAGATGTGTGTGCCTAGGTGTTGTGTAAAAGGAGCTAGACTCGACATCGGATCCGTGCAGTTAAAGGATTTCAGTTCTTCAATTTGAAATAATTTTTTGAATAACTGCTATGTTACATTAGGTGTAATAAATGAGGGGGGGGGGGTACTCACAAACCACACAGTATCAGGTATAATCTAATGTCTTCCTGCTTTCTTCAAGCTGTCATTTTTTACCAGCTGCTATTCCTTTGAGGTACTATTATAATGAGTTGTGCGTTGATATTGTATTTTATGTGCAACAGTGGGATACATGAAATATACACAGATTTATTTTCATTTTATATTTTCACATCAAGAAATTAATTATATGAAAATATATGGTAATTTCTCCAAATAACCAGAATAGCTGCATGTAACAAGATACTCTGAAACAAATGATGCATGTACGCTCACTCATCTCATGTTCATTTGTATGTAAATTAATGTGCTTTGAAGAAGAAAAGCTTAAAAATGCATTTAATTGCAATATTAACATTACAATGAACATACTGTGTGCTTAACCCATTTTCATCTCTTGATATTTACGTTATTGTTTCAGCTTGCTCGGTTTTTGGACCTGTGTGGAGATGAGATATGGGGAGTGCGCAAGGCATGTGCAGAGGTTTTCATGTCCGTGTCTTGTACATGCACTTTACAGACAAGAAAAAAGAGTCTTGCACCTGTGTTTGCCAACTTGCTGGTTGACCAATGTCGTTGGGTGCGCTTGTTTGCCTATAAGACCCTGGGACCTTTTATTTCAACATTTGCAGATCCCAGTATCATAAGATTATCCTATAATCAAAATGGCAAGCTTGTGATATTGGGCCCTGATGGTTTTGAATACAGGTCTGAACTTAATTGTACTAGTGAAGTTACTTGATTGGTTGTGGATGTTTTTAGAAGTGGTGGTTGTGTTGTGTGCATGGGTTTAGTTAATTACAGTTGGAATCAGTACTATTAAAGTTATATTACTCTGGGCCCTTAGGTAGCCTCTTGTGTTCCTTTGCATCTTCATTTATCCCCAAGTATCCCTGCACCCTTGGCAAGGTCCACATGTCTATGTGCAAAGTGTTCCACAGGCCTTACATTGTTTACAAGCTAAGGTTACACCAATAAAAACAACATGAAACTTGTTCTTCATCCATGCCCATTTCTTTGCAATCGGTATATTGGTCTCTTGATATGTCATTGATGAAATATGCATATTCAGTAAGTATTAAGATAAATTCATACTGGAAATGGCGATACACTTTTACCTAAAGATGAAAATATTATTATAGAATAACATTTTTCAAGTTTGTTAATTGGCACTGGCAATAACAGTTAGGCCAGTGCAAAATAAAGTGACATTTCTATGTTTTATTTCAAGAGTGACAGGTCAGTTGTGTTGTCAGATGATGAACCAGTGGCATGCAGCACTGCCTTCAGCCTTGGGGCAGTAAACTTTAAGTTTTATCCCACTAAACAACTTTAAGCATTCAGCATACCTTGAATAGGCATCGTTATGGAAGAAAGTAATTTATGTTCACTCCAGTATGGCGTTTTTGGTTCCAATCATGGACCAAAAATAGAATCTAGAAACTTTCTAATAACACTATCTGGTCATACACCATCAAAGATGTTTTAGACACCCATATAATAGAGCTGGGATGGTGTAGTCAGTATAGTAACTGGCTACATGCTGGATGACAGGTCGGAGTTCAACTCATGGTGGAAGCAAGAATTTTATCTTCTCCACATTGTCCAGACCGGCTGTGGGGCCCACCCAGCCTCCTGTCAAATGAGTACCAGGGGCGTGAAGCTGACCACTCACCTGCAATTAGTGCCCAGGTCAAGCAAATGTGGATCTATATATTCACTCCCCCATATGCCTTCATGATGTAGTGCTTAATGGGACAACTTTACCTTTTATATGTGTAATTTTATTTATATAGAAACAGTTCTGAATTACTTATATAAAGAGGTTATTTTGTCGCAGTTATATGCGGTAAGTCATAGAGAACATGCATACTGTGGGGGGTAATCTTGCATAACCTGAATTTAGTGCAGATCTCTTGGGGAGAGATCTGTTAAGTAGGAATTTTGCTGTATATCAGCCAGTTTGTGTTGCTCCTCACAGTTCATGGCATTGAAGGCAAAGACCATTTACCAAAACATTCAAACTTTGTCCCCTGTCAGCATGGCCAGTTGCCCAAGCTGACTTGATTGCATTTAACTTCAGATTATGTACATATAGTATCAATACTGTTTTTCTTTTCCAGCCAGTTGGTACCCCTTGGTGTGTCTGGCGTTGATTGTACCAAGTTTCTTCCGGAATTCAATTGTGGCCCAGGCACTTTAAACCCAAATGACACTAATTACAATGTAAATAGAGACATGGGTGAGATTTCAAGTCATGCAGATGAAAGCAGCGAAGATACTGAAATGTCTGTGATATATGATTATTTTGGTGATGAAGAGTCAAGTTGCTGTGATGTAGAGAGCGGTGTGAATTCTTTAGTGCAATGCTCAACAGTAAATAAATGCATATCGGTTCCAAGTGCGTGTGATGAGAGGACAGTGGGCACTGATGCATATTCGGTGGTCGATAACATTTCTGAAGTTCGAGTAAGAGATACTGTGGAAGGAGAGTGTGTTAAAGAGGAGATTGCAGAGGTAAGATGGGCTCCAGAAACAGGCTTAACAGTAGAAGAAGGATGTCTGAGTGATGAAAGCTCTAGTACCTCAGAAACAGGTTTAACAGTAGAAGAAGGATGTCTGAGTGATGAAAGCTCTAGTACTGGAGAACAGAATACAATAGGGAGTTCAGGACAGATAGTAGAGACTGGCTCCAGCAACCCAAACCTGCAGCAGCTGTGTGTAAGTGAGTCGGAAGACCAGGCCCACATCCATGTAGAAAGCAGCACTTTAAACAGCGTAGAAGCTTTTAATACATTCCAGTATTGGCGTGTTCCTATACCAGAACTGGAGTTAGATTTCACCTTGGCAGAAACAGACAAATCTACTGCACAGAATGTGAGAAATAATATTGTGAAAGAAGCCTTGCGGCAGCTTGCAAAGTCTCGATGGAATGTCAACAAGGATAGAGATGTGAGTAGTTTCAAAATACTCTCTTATACTTGGTATTTTTTACAACTCTCTTTTCTGCTCCCCCCTCCCCAGGTAAGGTTCCAGAAGCATTGCAGTTGCACTTCACAGCCTGTTGTGGTTACATTTTGGCTTCATTCATGGTTGGCCGTGCAAAACTGGGAGTTAAGGGGGTGTCCCATTAGAGACATGTCTGAATTCTGCAGTGTGCACTGAACATTGAAATACGATTGTTAACTTTCATTCTTTCTTATGTCAGGTGCTAGTTAAATCTCAGACAGCAGAGGATCTTTTCTTTAAATGGGCAGAGACCACTTCTCTTCTGTGTTACTTAGAACTCCTTCAGCCTACCCTGTCACCTCCTAACTCTTAATTTGCTGGTCATGGTAGCCACGCGTTCTGAGGCATGCACTGTCTTTGCTCACTTGTAAGCCAGGATCGTGGACTTGAGTCTCAATTACTGCATGGTTGTTTGGTGTATGTTTGTGTATGTGTGTTTTTCTATGTTTTATGTACAGGAATAGATCCTTGACGAGCTGATCACCCGCCCAAGGAGTCCTACGAAATGTCTAAGCTCTAGTATACCAAAGTGAAACGGAAAGTTTCATGGAGGTAGACAAAGACCAAAATTGGGGCTGTAGCGCCAAAGGGGTGAAAAGAACTCATAATTTGAAAAGGCACCTGTAGCACAGTTTCTGCTAATCCCAAATGTCTTCAGGATTGGTCCATTCTAATTAAGCCATCGCCAGAGACCCAAAGTATTAGTGCACTGTAGCCTTCAACAGTTTTTACAAGGCCTTTCTGAACGAACACTTATATGTCCATAGTTTACATACTTCAATGTGTATGCAGTTATATTGCCTTGCTGTCAGACACTGCATGGACTGAACTTCACCTAAGTACATGGAATAGAATTAGTTAAAGAAACTTGAGAATAACCTAGAATGTATACTTCAAGACAGTGGGAGACACACATCTGCTCCATGATATTGTAACATGTTTTGGTTACTGAAGACGCTGTTCAGATTGTTAATTGGTTTATTTAACAACCCACTTGGCTACAGTTAATTATAACACTCTTACGGGTTTCCGCACTTTACAAACCCTACACACACATTCTATTCACCCTGTCTTCAGTAGTCTACACGTATTCACTGTACGATACGGGAGCTGTACCAGTGTCACTGTATTACACACTCCCAATTACTTCACTTATGAGCCAAGCATCTGCTTCTCATGCTATCACTTCTAGTCACACATTCCGGTATTCTTCTTTCCGCTACAGCTGCTAGATTCCAACTGTCTTTGGCGGCTGCTACGTTTCAACTGACTTTGTAGGCAGTGTAGTTCTCTTATAAACCCTCAACCGGACAATGGGAAAACACCTTGCTTCCTTGTTGCCTAGTCGCTTGTTTACCGGCATTGCTGGGCTTTGCTGCCGGGAGTTGTTTATGGCTACGTAGCAACTGCGGCATCCCGTGTTACATCACCATGGGGGAAGGGGTGTTGACTGGCCTATTACTGTAGCAACAGCAACACTCCGAAAGTGTTACATCACCGCCGGCCGGGTAGGGGAAGGAGTGTTGACTTGCCTGTTGCCATAGTAACGACAGCACTCCAATACCAAGTCACCATTGGGGAGAAAGGCAGGTGTCCTCCATAGCGCAACACGTCACACTGTGTTCTTCTCACCACAGCAGGCTACGAGTAGCCTAGCCTCTTAGAAACATTGATTTTCATGCTTGATAAGATTCTATTGATATTTGTTGAAGAGTAATTGTATTAGAAAGTTATACTCCCAATCTGCTGACATTCTAAAGATGTAATATTATGCAGCATTTTTTGATGACTAAACACCCCCAAAGATGTTTTAGACACAATTCTTTTCGCCAAGCTTCAACATTAACCAGTGCAATAAAATTACATGCCTGTAAGTGGTAGAAGAATGCCTACCAGATTCCAGTCACTGGTAATACATTTGTCATAATTATTAACTGCACCAAAATTATGTGTGGATTCAGGTATATTTACAAATTCTACAACTGAAAATGTGTAAAAGAATAATTAATTCAAGCATTGCATTCTAGCCCACCATACCATATGTCCAAAAAGTACCCGACTATTTTTTTCCGCTGTATGTAATGGCCAAAGGGGTGGGGAAACTGAGCGTAGTGGTAGAAAGGACTTTCATGCGCATGCTTGATTTTTTGCTGACTCGCAACACTGCCGGATGTGTCTGTGGCTGCCAGATAGCGAAGTGGTGTAACGCGTGTTCGTCACATCATTTCGCTCAAGATGACAGAGTTCTGGGAGTAGCGATACTGCATTAAGTTTTGTCAGAAACTTGGGGATACCCAAGCGGAAACAATTCGCAAAATTCAGCAGGCTTTCGGCAATGATGCAATGGGGGTCACTCAAATTAAAGAGTGGTTCAACCACTTTGAACATGGCCATATGTCGGCGGACAGTCAGCAGCATTCCAGGAGACCGTCATTGCTGATGTCAGTGAAAACGTGCGGACACTGATCATGGAGGACCGTTGTTTGGCCATCTGTGAAGTTGCTGATGAGGTTGGGATCAGCAGAGGTTCCACAAACACAGTTTTAACTGAGGATTTGGGCATGCGAAGAGTGGCAGCAAAATTTGTGGCCAAGCTGCTTCGCCGGAGCAGCAACAACTCCACCTTGAGGTCGCGCAGGACATGCTGGAGTGCACCAACAGGGATCCTGAGTTCCTGAAGACTGTGGTCACTGGTGACGAGTCATGTGTGTACGGATATGACCTGGAAACCAAGGTCGAGGGGTCACAATGGAAGCATCCAACATCCCCGAGGCCCAAAAGAGCACAACCGGAGCAATGTGAAGGTGATACTGACTGTTTTCTTCGATTACTGGGGTGTTGTGCATCATGAGTACGCACCACTAGGCCAGACTGTCAATAAGGAATACTAGCAAGAAGTCCTCCGCCATCTTCGTGATGCAGTTCAGCACAAGAGACCGGAGCTGTGGGACGCACGCAACTGGCAGCTGCATCATGACAACACCCCAGCTCATTCATAGCACGTGATCCAGGGTTTCCTGGCCAAGCATGGCATTCCGCAGGTTCGCCAGGCTCCCTACTCTCCTGACATGGCTCCTTGTGATTTCTGGCTGTTCCTGAGTTTGAAGACACCACCAAAAGGCTGCCATTTTGACAGCCGCGAGGACATCATACAGAACGCAACGGCGCAGCTGCGCGCAATTCGAAAAGAAGCCTTCCAGAATTGCTTCCAGCGATGGAAGGATCGCTGGGCTAAGTGTGTGGAGTCACGAGGGGCCTACTTTGAAGGGGATTAGGTATTGTAACCACCCAGATACAGAACTTTGTTTTCCTGGCCCAAGGTCAGATACTTTTTGGACAGAGTGGGTATATGCTCTGTGTCATGAACAAAACATTTTTAAAAATATAGATGTCTTTGAAACCAAGAGCTTCCAGACCTGGATTCCTTTCCAGTTTAGTATCACAGTTTTATGACTGAATTGTAGGAAGCATTGACGAGTGTAAATTCATTGTTTTGCATCCAGGCTTAGCAGATTGCAGAAGGTCAATCAGTAACTCATATGTACTGGTTACATAGTTTTGTATTTATTCTCTATTCGAGCAAGGGCACGCAGTAGCATTGCTGGTAGAGGCTCTATGCTGCAAGCCAGAAGGTCATGGGTTTGATTCCCAGTGAGGTCATTGGATTTCTTTAATTGACCTAATCCTGGCCATACTATGGCCCTGGGGTTGACTTAGCCTGTAACACAAATGAGTACCAGGAATCTTCCTGGGGTAAAGGACGACCGGCACATAAGGCTGACAACCTCACTGCCATCTGTGAGCCGGTTGTCTCAAAAGTGTGGGAACCTCAGCGTCTCACAACCATGTGGGCTTCCATGTCCTGTTACAGGGATACCTTTACCCTTTTTTCCTCTCTATTTGAACTTGCATAGTAATTTTTGGCATTTCGTTTTGTATGCATGTATTTGGGGGGGGAGACATTCCTTTATGCCTTTTCCTTGGTCTTTATGCTCATTAAATTCTGTTTCCTTCATCACTGTAGAATTATAGACTAGGATGACATTCTGAAGCAGACTTTTAACAGATTTAAGCATGGAGCCGCTTTCTACATTAGTTGCGAATTGGAACTATCCCTACATAAAAGTTTTCATGTTACAATATTCTACTGAATACAGTCTTAACAGTGCTACAGATTTTCGTCCTTCACTCTCTTTTTCAGCTAGTTACAGCTTCATACAAGGTGTGTCCCAAAAGTCATGAAATATATATTGTGACATGTTGCGCAATGGAGGATACCCCCACCCCCCTGCCAGCGGCGATGTAGCAGGTGAGTCAGCCCTCCCCCCCCCCTCACACTGTGATGCTGCACCGCTTCCTACTCTAACGTGGCATGCAACGACGCTGGTGACACGGGCAACAGGCAACAGCGAACGGAATAAAAGCCGACTGAGCAGTAAGCGTGAGTGAGTTAACACATAGCTGCCGCCGAAGTTAGTTCTCAAGCCAGCAGCCTACGAGTTGAGTTGGAATCTAACAGCAGTTGCGGTAAGAAGAACCGGACATGTGTGTAATTGTGTAATTGGGAGTGTGTAGTGCACAAAGACTTGTAGAGCTCCCATGCTGTAAAAACANACAAACATCTACACATTTTTCCCACCGACTCTCCCATGCCCGGTACGCCCCCTCAAAGGCCTTGACGGGAACCTCATTTCAAGCTGTTGTCACGGCTGCTTGGATAGCCTGAGTGCTTTCAAAACGGCATCCTTTGAGTGCAGTCTTGATCCTCTGGAACAAAAAGAAGTCGGCCGGAGTTAGGTCGGGGCTGTAGGGTGGCTGCGGCAGCGTTGCCATGTGGTGCTTCGCCAGGAACTCACGGATGAGCAGAGACGTGTGGCTGGGTGCATTGTCATGATGCAGCCGCCAGTTAACAATGTGATGCACAACGGTTTTTGGAATGTTCAGAGTGTCAGCTAACAACCGGACAGTCATTCGATGGTCAGTATTCAACAAATCACGCACAGGAGTCACATTTTATTGGTTTGGCTTGTTGATGGCCGTCCAGAGCGGGGGGTCATCTTCCACTCCTTCCTGGCCCTCCTTAAACTTCTTCACCCACCTTGTAACTTGCACATATGATAGAGCAGACTCCCTGTAGGCTTGCTTAAGCAGTTTGTGAGTTTCGGCAGCTTTTTTGTTGAGCTTTGTGCAGAACTTGACTGCCCAGTGTTGTTCGAAAGTATCCGCAATCGTGCACCGTGACGTCACAAAACACAGATGCACTAAATCAGTGATACTGACGCCTCCGATGCTCAAGCAGACTGACCTTGGCGCACTGTGAAGCTAAAGGCCTCCCCTCCCTAACCCAACCGTTTCCAGCGCGCTCCGACCAGTAGGAGCACGGGAAAGAAATATATTTCATGACTTTTGGGACATACCTTGCATATACTTTTGTTATTTATATGATTTATAGCGCATAGCATTTCACACTGCTTTGTTAAAACAGGAAACAAAAATGATTGTCATTCATAAGCTCCCATGCTACAGAGATTTTACTGGTTTCTAGTTTATTTAAAATTGCTTATTCAACTGCATAGGTTATACAACATCAAGTAGGAGACTGATGGGATGAATGTGGCAGGAGGTGGTCATGGCCAACTTTAACGTACTATCCCAGCATTTTTGGGAGGAACTGAGGAGACCCTTTAAAAAAATATTCAAGATGCCTAAGTTCTTGGCCAAGAAATCAGATATGCATCGACAGTAATGTTCAGTGGAACATTCTGAATAGGAAATTTTTTAGACTTGCTGGTGGCGGGGTTGGTTAATTTTATTATTATTGCCAGTGTTTTAGGGGTGTGACTGTTAGATTGTGTTTGTGTTGGATGTTTGGATTTATTGCACGTATACACTTAACTCATAACTACAAGTAATATAGCACTATCGCTGATCTACACACTTTACAGTTCACCATTACGCACACGCTAGTCACTTTTTTTAATGACTTATCCACTACAAGCTTTTGATGTGAAGTAATTTTCATTAAGTGCACTAGTAAATTTTGCATCAAGGCTTTTGTGTAATGTCACTAATTTTCAATAAATTCACCGTGGTATGTTAATCAGATGTTACTGGATCCGAACAAAATGAGCGTTTATGCTTGTAAAGTCCCAGGATAACATTTCAGCCGAGAAGTTTGTTGTCCTGGCTAAAGTGTTGCATGGTTTTCTTCAGTCCCTGTAATTCAGTAATGTCATTAAGTAAACAAAGAAACTGACAAAATGCCTATCTGATATTGAACACAATCAGTCAAAAAAGAAATCTGTTGATTTATTTTATACAATGGTTCTTCACACTACAGAAACTTTTCATGTAGTATATGAAATTTTTGGTTTTTGAATTACAGTCTGAGCTGGAGAATCTGTCAACAAGGCGTGAAGAATGTTCTCTTCAGTATCCAGCAGAGGCGCCACACAATGCACAGATCTGTACTGCCAGTGTTGCCATGGTGACTGAGACAGGTATGCAAGGTGTGAAAAATGACAACCTTCAGTTTCAATATTATCCTGAAAGCCGTGTGGTTTCATTCAGGGGAGGTTACTATTGAGTGCAATTGTATCTCATGTCAGCCATTTACACCTCTTGGTAATGCTGCAGATCTGTTTCATTTTGAGGCTGGCTGTTCTTGCTTTCATCTAGACCAGGGGTCGGCAAACTATGGCCCGTGGGCCAACTGCGGCCCGCCGCCGCTTTTTCTGCGGCCCGCGCGCTAGGAATAGATTTTACATTTCCAAACTCTTAAAAATGTCAAAGTGGGATAATAATTCATGAAACAAGATAATTATTATAATATGAGTTTAATATTTCTGCGTCTGTGAAGCTTTATTTATAGGAAGAAACCTACGTTTTTTCGAACGTATTGTCTATGGATGATTACACACTCCAACGGCCGACCTTGAGTTGAGGTGCGAGAATTGCCGTGTGTGGCGCTCCTAT